ACTATCACACTGCTGCCTCCCGCTTTTTGATGTATAAAACCAGGTGCATACCTCCACCCATAACTGTTTTCCCCCACCAACGAGTGGGCTCACACAAAGTGAGAGCAGAGACGACTCTTGTACCCTCTCAGTGTGCATCGGACGGAAAGTCTTGCGTCAGCCGCAGACAGAATTTGGGTGTGAAATCAGGTGCGGCGCTTGCTGCCAGAGCACACACGCCTTCTTAACTTAACGTGTTCAACCTTCTAAAGTCATTCCCTTCGCCCTTCCGTGTTCAAGTTATTCCCAGTCACCGGCTCTGCACCATCATGTCACAGGGTGCATCGTTGTCGCTCCTACCCCATATGCAGCACTCCTTGCCTGTACCCACCCTGGCGGTGGGCGATCCCCTGTCGCGCATTTCATCCTGTCGCAGAATTCGTTGGCAGTCAGTTGTGCGCGGCGCCCACGGTTTGCGACGGCCCGATGTGCACAGGTATTCTGATGACGCGATGACCAACTCTGCCTCCTTTGCAAACAGGCCTTCCCACCTCCCCCGCCCCCTAACTTAGATCCTGCCCTTCAGCTATCTAATATTGCACTGTAGGGAATTCTTTCTGTGGACGAGTGTGTTATTTTGGCGTGCTGCCATTTGCATCGCCTTATGTCACTGCTCGTGCCATTTCGAACCACCGGCTTCCCACGCATGAAGGCCAGACTGAGCTACTCTGCTGTCTCTGGAAGGATGCTATTGCGTTGCCTTTAGTATCAGCGGCATTCTACGGTTTGCCGCTTTCATATCGTAAATTTCACCGTGTACTTTGGACGATATTTGCCATGACTGGCTTATTGGTTGCAAATTAATCATGATTCAACGGATCATCTCCCAATGTACTGAGCTTCAGGCCGCACGAAATCGGGCTAGTTCGGCCTAAAACCATGGCCCTTGGATCCAAAGGGTCACTTAAGGTCCACATTAATGTTTGCAGAAATGTCATACCGCAGCGGTGGCCAGTCAGCGCCGACTTCGCAGGAGATACTACCTTGGGCAGTTTAACAATCAGATCGGCGCTGCAGATGTTCCAGTCATCAGTCGTTGGGTAAGCTAGGCACAGTGGACCGGTTGTTCTCGTAACCCATAGCTATGGGGGAAAAAAGCCCAGAGACATTCATAGAACAGTAAGTAAGCACTATCGACCAATTAATTACTGGCATTGAATATTTACTGAACACACAAGCCATTTCTCACTTCCATATGACGGGATTGTCGTGTATGTAGCCTGACTAAGGGCTCGGTTTGAGATTCTGGTTAGTCTAACAGCGATTTCAATGGTTCTGACGGGCTCGAAAGGTAGAATGTTATTACTGACAAAGACAAGGGAGACTGGAATGGCCATTTCTGGCTTATTGGCCGTCGTCAGCCAGTCATACTTCACCCCAAAGTGTGGAACACCTGGGGCTCCATCTCGCGGCCCGTTAGTTAGAAGTCCAACGCCTCTAACCACTGAGCCACGGGCTCGTTGTCCTGTCCTGCTGGTTGGGCTCGAGAGAGAGAGAGTCCATAGGGCGCAACTGGACGAGTGAGTTCCGTAAGAACGATCGGTGAGCGTACCTCTACCATTGGACTCGAAAGGTGTCCATACGTGCCTGGTGAATCTGGCCTTGGACCCCAAGACAGCGAAAGCCGTCCATAGATCACAAACCTGAACGTCCTTTATGAGAAAATAAATATCCTTGCACTCAAGTCTTAAATTAATCCTCCTCGTTTTGAAACGAGAAATCTTGGAACTTAATTCGACCCAATTCCCATCTGGTTCAAATCTCTGACGCATCCAACCGTGACAATTTGGCCGACAGCCACTGCTAGAATAGGAATAATATTCCCTCCCAAGCGAAGATATGCAGACTCGGTATACCCAAGGTTGCTGGCGCAGAGAGAACTTGTGTGTGCATTCTGACAATCTGATTCGACCACGCCTGTCTTTCCTCACCTCCGACGAGAGTTTTATCGTCACGAGCGACGACGTCCGCCATGTGACCCACGGAGTGGGCACGGCACCGGTGACTTGCGCTTGAAGCTAACCTGTGCAGCACCTACCACACAATCTCACCCTTACACCAGGCTCTGATGGCAAGCCAATTTCCAAACGGCTGGAGGTGCGCAGTGTCTGACAAAGTTGGACAGCCCGTCTAGGGGCGCCACACACACGACCCGCTCCCCCGCACAATATACCAGGTTTTTGCAGAATAATGGGACGGCTCGAACCTCACTTTCTTGAGAATGCCATAGAGGCCAAATTAAGGAGGAGCCCTTGAGCCAGTCACCCCGACTGTTCGCCCGTCACATCCGACGATGTTCACCGTGTGCTACACTGCAGGGTGAGAACAGGGACGGTGACTTGTGCGGGAGTTCCGTTTATAACGATAGTAAACTTGCACAGCATCTACCGCACTCTCTCCTCCCCTACCTGGACCCGGTGTCAAGACAGGGTCAAAAAACCGGAGATGGGGTAGGGCGCATGTGGATGGCACGACCGAGCCCCGCACCTTGGCGTTCCACTCCAAACCCCCTGGTCCACATAGCAAATAACCAGAGTTTTTGATTGACAACAACAATGGGGGGGGGGGAGGTAGCAGGGTCCCAGTGTGCGCGACTTACGCTGGCAACCGAGTCCGCCACCGCACCCCGAAATGTTGGCATTTGTTACGGTGCGCAAATTCGATAACGCCTGCCAGGATCCGATATGGCCCCCGTGTTGGGCCGGCGCATCTACCACATGGCCCGTTTGGGGGCCACGCCAGTCACCCCACACGCACGGGCACAGACAGACAGGCAAGACTTTGGTAGAAGGACTTGATAACTCGGACCCAACCCTCAGATTCGGCAAGCTGCCTGGCAGGAAATTTTTCTTTGATGCATAAACAAAAAATCAAGGAACTAGTTTTTTCACATTTCACCCCACTTCTCACAAGGTACGTCTACCCTTTGGAAAACCAGAAAGTACTAAACTTCCGCCTAATTTATTTTCTTATCCATCCTCCCTTCCCTCACCGCCGTCACTCGCCTCATTTCAGACCGAATTTTGTGAATGCCAGTCCAAACTTGGCGTCACCGCCCTAGCAGCGAAACAGGTCTACTCCCACCTTGGCTACCCGAACGGACGAGATGATATCGCGTCCGAGGGCTTTCGTCTGGACACTTTACACGTATGGGGTACGCAGGACCTCAGCACGTCCGATCTCCTTCAGTGGATGGCCGAATTTTCGCCAAAAGATATCGAGTGGATAGACGACTTTTCGTGTAAGTTACCCCCTCTTTACTTTAGAATCGGCGTCTTGACAGACGCATTGAAAGGCACATTTTCATACTTTTTCTCGGCAGTGCTTTTTGTTCCCAAGGCTCCCGTATTGTAACTTCCGTCGCCCTAATGTTTCTTTTTGAAACATGCCATCTTACTCCGTTCCACTCGAAGTGGACAAATTTTGTAAAAGCAGATATCCTAATATAGAACAGAAAACGAAGGAGGTTCTTCGGAAAGAAATCAATTTGTACTCACTTCCAGGCTTCTGGTTGCGTTTTTCGTTACGACAGTCTCCCTAGTGATGCTTAGTCCTTAGAAGGTTCAACTTCCAAATTTAAAACACTGTTTGCTAAACGAAAACAGAACGTTCATAAAGGAGCGCAACAGATTTCCGTCGTTCGTTAAAAACTGAATATACTTACGCTTCTGGCTATGCTTATTCATAGATTATTTTCGATGCTTTGACATAACATGTCTGCGTGTTCGGCGGGGTTACCAGGTCCTAGCAAAACTTCCTAGTCCCATTCAAGTCAGTTTTCGCGAAGTAAATTTGATGAACGAGAGGTTGAGCTTGGCAGTTTGTGTTTACCGTAGTTGACAAAAAGCCTTGCGAAAATGGAGCTGTTTCTTCCTGACAATTTTTGTTTGAGAAGGATTAAGTTTGCCCCTGGCCTGTCCACCAGTGGCTTCATTGCATGGGATTTTTTTGGGCCCCTGATCGCAGTAACGAGTGCCAGCTTGGCTTGTTGATTCTTTCCTCCTTCGAGCCCCTCGTTTAATGCCTATCGTCTAACCCCCACATCTGCAGGCAATATTGTTTTCGCCAATGAGAACACGGCCCTTCGCGTGTTCAATAAGCTAGCAGAACCATTCGATCGGCGAGTGGCCCTGGCAGCTATGGCCGCTGTCGCCGCCGTAATGGACAAGAAGGCGCCCTTGGCTGCCGACGAGGATACCGAAATGGGAGACCACAAGACCGAGAACGGGGAGGGGAAGAATCAACCGGGTCTACGCGAGGGTCAGACTCACCCGCTCTCCTTTTCGACCGGCTCCCTCAAATCCATCACTGAGAACATGCCCACCTCAGGCCGCTGGTTCAAGGCGACCACGTCACCAGACCGCGCCTTATCCCTCTTTTTACGTTTTGCCCACAAAAGTAGGTCCTTTTGGATACCTTATAACATATCGTTTGTGCGTTTCTCAACCCCCCTCCCCAGCAATACCACTGTCACAAATACCATTACTATTGTCGCCTCTGGGAATTATTAAACGTAACTCCTCTCTAGTGGCACTATTCAGATTCAGACACTCTTGCCACTTCATACATTTCTGACGTGTCCCAAGTGGGCTTTTGATTTCACCTTTCACTCTTCGCGGACAGGCGGACCTTCTCATCCATCCTATGGACATATTAGTTTCAGATCGTTTCGGGTGGCGCTGTAGGTTTATTTGATAGTGGAAAACATTTTCTGTATTGTACTGCTGCCACGACGTGTGACCTCTTTCGAGGTAACTGCCTCTACAGATCGGTGTCCAGTCACGTCTACCTGCCTTACTGCCGCATCGTCCGTGGCTGCCTATTTGTCAAACTTTAGAGCTCCTATTATTGCCTAACCAACCTTCGCTGTGTGCTGCGTACTCTTCCTTGTTTATGTTCATCCCTCCTCTACCCCGCAAGGCGACGTTAAATTGCCGGGTGCTGAACGCCGGAGCAACTACTATAAGCGTTACGGAAATCCCAACTACAGTGGCATGGTGGGCATCTTGTCGCGCTCCTTTCGACGGCGGGCACAAACGCAGCGCCGCAACGAGGGAGGCGCTTCTGACGGCGGTGCTGGCGATTTGCGGCGGGTACACTACTTGTGCTGCGACTGTGGTCACACCGAGAAGCACCTCTCCTCCAGCCTGCCCCACCTGTCTGCCTGCTGCTGTTGCGCCACCAATGGCTCTGCAGCGGCCAGCGACACCAACCCGCGGCAGGACAGACGAAAACTGGTCTCCTACGAAGACCTCTATGAGGACGACTTTGTCGATGATTCCGACGACCTGGCTGATCTGGCCAGAGATTTTGATGAAGGTCTCATCTCCGTGCGCAGCGACATTGGTGGGGTCAGCAGAAACACCCGAGTGTCCACGCGGGCCGGCAATCGGCGCGAGGCGGCGGGTACAGTGTGCTCTTGTTTTTTCATGCTGCTGCCTCCTCTCGCCGTTTTCTAGTGTCTCGATTAGGCCGCGAATCTAGCAACCAAGACACTTTATTGCGGCATTATGAGGAATTGGGCGTTCACGCGGGAAGGAGACGTTTTCGGCTAGGTTAAATGAAACCGACGATGCCTAAAACGCTTTCTGACTGTGTTCTCCATTTTCCCACGACCTGTGCTTTTAAAGTGTTTCAGTTATTTGAAATTACGGCTCACGCCAGTCGTCTGACGTATACCATAACGTTAGAAGCTTGTGTTAAAATTTAAAGTCGCCGGCTTTTCGTTAAAGTGGCGCTTTTGGTGTTAACCGCGGTCTGAGGGGCTTTCACTGATTGGAGCATGAATCCTTCTCCTGCCACTTAGTTTTTGGTTTGACGTTGGCAGACCCTCGTAGGTTACCACCATACGTCCCGTGAACTTGCCATCCAGATTCAGTCCTCGGTCGGATGACCCCACGCCAAATTCCAGGAGGTCCCTATTTCCTCGTCCTAAGTTACCCTGATTCTCCTAGTCCTAACACTATCCCTCGTAAATCTAACCTTAACCCCAGCCTCAGGCCCGTCCGGAATTTGGGGAAAGGTCTATACATGAGGAGGTCCATATGCCCGTGCCCTACACATTCTTCCTTGTTAGCTGTTCAATATGTTCTGGAATCCATTAAACATTGACCGAAGCCTTGGAAAAGACTAATTGCTTGAATCTACCGTACTAATTCGCGTGAAGTAACAATCTCCACGGGAGGCCTCCTTGTAGAGCCATGAACAGATATTTCTTGGATGAAATACGCACCAAGTACTTGAGTTGGGGGAGACATCGTTTTGTGCAGAAGGCCGTTGCAAGATGTAGCAACCTCGATGAGTTCGGTCTTATTCACTTCATGTTTTAGTGGTCAGGTGACTGCAATATCACGTTTTGGTAAAAACACATTCAGTTTTTATGGGTGTAAGCACCAGGCTCTTTTGCGGACCCTGTATATGTCTCTCCCCGTCTCCTATGCTTTATGGCACGTGTTTGTCGTGCGTTAGACGGAGGCTGTAGGCTATTGTACCCAGACTTGTGTCCTGTGGATTTGACTCAGACTTCCAGCTGCTATGAGAGCGGTGGGCTCTCCTCTGCGTAGATCCTCACTACAAACAACTAAATGGTCTGTTAAACAACCACAACAAGCTAATTGCCTTGGCCTGGAAGACTGTCAGACAACGGAATAATTTGGCCGGTCTCTGCAACAAGGATTTGGCTCCAATGACTCCTTTATAGCACTCACCTGTCTGCAAATTCTGTCTTTGAAATGGGGTTCCCGTGCGTTTAGGGGCCAACACATGCTTCATGCTCGTCAGCCAGTCTGTCTGCACCCACGTCTAGTTACCCCGACTCTGTCTGTCATCTGGGACACGCTGGGTGTGGGAAGAAAAAGTGAGGTAAATGCCTTGCAGGTTTGAAACGGTACAATAAATGAAGGCGAAAATCCCCACACCCTCTTCGATGCGGTGGTGATCCTTGCCGCTCAGTCGTTTTGCTTGGCTGCTTTAAGATCTTTCCGCTCTTCCGACTTCCATAACATGGCACGCTCGTAATCGGGCGCGTTTTTCACTGCCTTCTTGCCATTTTACTGGTTTGTCAGCCCCCATTGATGGGGGGTGATCAGGTTTACAAATTCTGTCACTGAACCAGCAGGTATTCAATAGCATAACTCGCTAAGCTACATTGCGGTGCAATATAATTCAAATTCTGGTCTTATTTGGGAGTCCAGACTTCCTGGTCTTGATCCCCGCCATATAACCGCACATCGTCAGTGATAGGTGTCTGAATTTTGACTGATATCTATGGTCTAGGGTTTTGTTAAACAGACTTCCGACTCTGCAGTTCTCTGTGCCGGATTTTTTGTGGAGGCTTGCTGTTTTGTGTTTAACTTGATAGACGTATCAACTTGAGTTTACGCAGTCCCCGCATATTAGCCCGAGACGTGAAGCCGTCGAGCGTGCTTTTCTGGAGCTTCCGTCATGGCCTTTCTGCCTACTCCCCCACTGTTCAGCTCCTTGTCTATCTCATTTTCTAATCACAATTCACCTTTTTTCTTCTTCAGCCTGTGGGTTCGCTTCCCCCAAGCAGCCGCGTAAATGGCCACGCAATGAACGCACCGGTGGCCAGCTGGTCTTTGACCGTCTCGGTCCCTCCGACAGAGTCGTCCCCTTCAAGCCTTCCGCAGACTCGCGGGAGCCCTGGGCTGGTGAACTGACCAGCGGTGAGGACTTTCGCGGTTTCAAGGGCTCCGCGTCCCGACAGACTGCGGGCGGCGGTCGCGTGAGTGCTAAACAGCGGCTGGGCTCGCGGCATGGGAAAGCCAATGCTGCCCTGGCTACAATCACCCTCCTTCCTGACCCGGATGTGACCGATGCGCATCGTCCGCTCACCTCCATGCGTATGGTGGCGGATCTAGAGGAGGCGAATATCTTCAGTCAGATAGAGTGTGTACCTATCAGCTCTTTGTCTACTTTCTTGCATGTTCCCTGTTTATATCCAGAGCTAAGCTGGCCGTTAAGAGGTTTATGGACGCAGAGCACGTTGACTGTGTCATTTTATTGACCAAGGTTCGCTAAATTCATTATAAACGACCGACTTTTTAAGCTTTTTGCCGTTTCACTCATCTTTCGTCCTTGGTTCTCCGAACTGTGTTTGGTGCTTGTGCCACGGAAGTTTGCAAACTACAGTAGTCACTCAATCTCAAGCAACAAGATTTGGATTCCAAACTCATTCTTCGGAGAAATGATGAAATGTACGCCAAATATTGAGTTGCCTGTTGCCACTGTCGATAGAAGCGAAAGGACGAGCTCCAGGAAACGGTTGAGAGGGTGGAAATGCGATTGTCACAACAAATATTTTCATTTGTCTGAAGTTTCTTACTCTCACTCGAACCTATCATCGGAGCGCGGCATTTATAGGGCGCAGTTGCCATGCCATCACATACAGTCAGTGACCAATTTCACGGGATGTTAACCGAGATTTGGAAACGCCTTTTTGATTGGAAGGGATTACTTAAGTTGGTTGTCATATTGATTATCATGCGGTATGATATGTCAGGCACGCCTGAATATTGGCCTCTGAGTGCACTTCTTTTCGGACGCCTGCAAAGACCGCACTCAACAAAGAGTGACTGCTCAAAACGCATGCATTTTTGTGTGGGTTTCCGATGCCAACATCCTGGCGTGTCAGGCGTACCATGAGATTATCCTACGTGATAATTAGTATTACAACCCCACTTAAGTAATCACTTCCAGTCGAAAGTGCATTTTATAATTTCACTTAGCATTCCATGACACCGGTCACCGACTGTATCGATCAGAATTGGCAGCTCCCACACGCATCGCCGATGATTGCTCACCCGATACACTGGAGTCATTGAGCGTCGTAATTCTATCATTGTTCATTGACAGGATTGTCAGTGGGGCGTTTAGCTGGCCGATACTGTCGCTGGAAGTGGTGTTCGCTCGGGCACTCCCCTGTGCCAAGTACTCTGATCGGGCAGTCAGCACTGATTGCACAGTATACAGTAAGTGGGCTAACTCACGAAATGTCGACCGAAATGCGTTTTCGTTTCGAAAATATTAATTAAGGTTGTAAAACTAGTCAGCCTGCAACATAATTCTATAATATTTCAGTTACCTCAAGATACCGGCTTTCGAATGAACTTCCTTCCGGCTGCATGCAAAAACTGTACTGTAAAAAATGGCTACTTAGGTAGCATGCATTTTTCTCATTGAATTTCGATGCTCCTAAAAGCCCAATTATATTTCATGGAAAACATGCAGAAAAATATTCATTATTTTGCTTTTTCGGTAGAAAATTACGTCTGCGTTCAGTTTTGTACTCAAAGAAAGGGTATAATTCGGTTTTAAAAAAGTTTTACAATTCCGGAATAATTTCGAACCCGCGCCACCATTACACTTAGATTCAGGGTTTCCAAACTACGTTCCGTAAATTTTCCGCGTACGGAAATCCACACATTTCTCTACGGTAATAAAAGGGGACCATAAAGGGTTCATCAAATTTGGCAGTGGATTCGAGCCATATTGTTAACTTTACAACCCACATTGGTAAATGCAGAGACATGACGATTTATGAACGGCCATTTCACGGTATTTAAAAGTCCCACAATTAGAAACTTAAAACCGAATTATGTCCCTCCTTCGAGTATACACTTGGAAGAAGACTTAGTTATCTGCAGAATGAGCAAAAGAATGAATATTTTTATGCATTTTTGCCATGAAGTATAATTGGACTTTTAGGGGCATCGCAAATCAATGAGAAAAATTCATGCTACTCAAGTAGTCATTTTTTCAGAGTGTAGTTCTTGCATGCAGTCGGAAAGAATTTCATTCGAAAGCCGAAATCCCGGGCTGACTGAATTATTATAGAATTATATTGTAGGCTGACTGGTTTTGTAACCTCTGCTTAATTAATCTTTTCGGAACGAAAACGCATTTCGGAATTTCGATTGAAATTTCATGAGTTAGCCCACCTACTGTACCATACTTGACAACACAGGTATTACCTAGAAGCCCATACACGTGTTTCGCTGATATTCTGCCGCTGCAGGCCACAGCTGTGAGGAGTTCGGATCATCAGTGGGTCCTCCAGCGTCCGCCGTGTGCTTTCTGGTAGATATTCATGTCAAATTTCAGCCTCACATTGACTGACAAATAAGCGATTGGTTTCTCAGAAGTTTAAAAAGTTGCAATTTCGAAACTGGAGCATCTACCGGAGTGAGCCTAATCCTTCTGTCGATAAGAATTACCGACGAGTAGACGGACACAAAGGTGGCCGCTTCTTGTTTATTTGCCGTCATCATTCGACCCTGCTCTAATCATGAACCGGACGCCTTCTGACTTTGGAGACCTTTCAAGCTCAAAACTCGCAAGATCTACGAACCCACACCCGGCCGACTGCACTCGGAACTATTTAAGGTCATTCGACTGTAGCACCGGCTGTTCCAATTACAAGACATTCCTGCTTCCCGTAAATTCACCTCGAGTGTTCGATTTGCACCTTAAAATTCCAGTCTTAAAATATGCTCAAAAATTAACCAATCTTAATTTGCATTCTCGTCTGCTAGACTGCGCATCATTTAACAGGTGTTTTGGCAGCTATGAATAATTCATTGTGCCCAAGTCTGAAAAACTGGGCGGCCTCCGTGAGATTCGACCCCACTATAGCAGGGGCAAGACCTTAACACAGCCAACGCTCTAACCACCCAAGTCACGAGACCCCGACCTGTCTTGCCTACGTCTTCTTGCTACTAATAATTAGGGTGTCTTTCGAAATGACGCACTATCTTATGCAGAATTATAAAGTACTTTTAATAAGAGACTATCCTAGCAGTCCCAAGTTGGCAGTCATCTGAGGGATAAGGTCCAAGTTTTTACATTCATTTGTTGTTAATCTGCCCTTCGTCCAGCATTCTCAATTGATTCCGTGTGCGAAAAATTCCGAGTGAGCTTATCGCCTGTAACTCGCGAATCCAACGAATCCGAAGCGGGATTAAGTATCGCGAGATGTATGGAACTGAAAGTAAACTTATTTACCTATCTGTCTGCATTGCAGAACTGAGTACGTGGCGATTCCATTTTGCCCCGAAATGATCGATAGACTAAAACCGAGGGCTCCAATGGTTAGACCGTCGGACTTCAATTCACAACGATCCATGAAGCTTAGATTCAAACTTTGGGCGCGCCAGCACTTGGTTCTGTGCATCATTTAGCAATGACGGCGAATAAGCCATTTCAGTGTCGTTTTGCTTTGTCAGTAACTCCTACTTAACATCTGCAAGTAATAGCCTGACGGACCCAAAATTTCTAGTAGTTGTCCTCTACCGACTTACATGCGTTGGTCACGACGACGCTTCGAGCGAGCTGGTAATGGGAGGTTTAACCGTCGACCATTTCACACGCATTCCGGAACCGCCAATTCCCAGGTAGTCTTTTCCCCCAACGCATTCATTTCTACCTTCTCGACTCGAAATATAATTTATCAGCCTAATTATTTCAATCTCTGTAGGTCGAATCGCATTGTTCGGGCATGCTGGCGCTTGTTTAAGTGAGTCAGACATCATCCAGGATACGAATCCATCTGGTTACCGCGTCCGAATTTGTCGAGTGGTCTATTGACTCCGACCAAACTACTGCGTACCACCTCAGAACGCCTACCAGCAAAGACGGAGATGACAGTAATCAAGCTAGGCAACCTTGCGCCATGGTTTGGTACAGATTGCACAAGTTAGCACGGTTACATTGAAGTCATCAGTCTATGGGGCAGGTGAGTAAATTCTTGAGTTCACCTAACGGTGCCGCAGTGACTGGATCAGCGGAAGAACCCTGCCCAGACGAATCCAACCAGGTCCCACAACGATGCTCCCTTCTGCAAAGTCCGGATAATGACAACAACGTTGGCTAGGGTTGACCGCAAGCAATATTGGACTGAAATTGTGACCTCCATGGAACAGGCTCCAAACATTGGGGGCACTCGAAAATTCTGCCAAGCTGTTCGCCAAGTTAGTAATTAGCTCTTCTCACTGAGTGACTGTTCGCGATGTGAATAGTGGCTTTATTGCTGACAACTCGGCCAAGATCGATCACCGGCGTGAGCACATCAAGCACCTCAGCTTTGATGAGCGACCTAATACACCCTTGCTCTCCTCTTCAGCGGAGTTTTATCCCTTCCCATCCTATGCAGTGTTGTGCGACCCTCTTCTGGGAGGGAGGCTGAGGTTGCTGATGCAATACGGAGGCTGCACAACAGCAAGGCGCCCGGAGAGGACGGTATTCCTACCAAAATCTACAGATCATGAATCGTTACTCGGGCGCCCTGGCTCCATGACCTTATTGACTAAGTGTGGAGGTACTTCCTAGTGACCGAGGCCCAGGCATCTTTATGTTCGTCTTCAAGAGGGAAGATAAGGCCTGAGAACTGTTACAGCATCAGCCTCAGCGACGTTGCTGCGAAGGTATTCGCTTTTGTCCTTGGACGATTTCAGGGCGTGTATAACTCGACCACTAGGCCCAACCAAGCTGATCAGATACTCACCGTAGGGCGTGTTTTTCAATTCCGCCATGGATCCCAGCAACTGACGGGAGTCTCCTTTGTTGACTTCGCCGCTGCGTTTGATTCCGTCCATCGTGAGTCCCTGTGGCGAATAATGCAATTAGATGGTGTGTCGGCCAAAATCATCGTCATGATTAAGAACTACTGTCGCTCTATAGCTGCCATCACTTCCAACCGTTTGATATCCGATCTGGTGTTCGACATGGTTGCATCCCGTCGCTCATCCTTTTCAACTACGTCATCGGCTGAATTCTCGGAGGGACCCCATAAGGTCTTAACGTTGTGGATTTTTCACCCGGACGCCAGCTGACTGAAGTGGACTACGCTGACGATGTTACCCTGCCAGCCTCAAGCTTTGGTGGTCTACAGCCACGAGTGAATGAAGTCGTTAAATCAACCACTTTACCTACATTAGGGTTATTCTGTCGTGACAAAAATAACTACGCTTGTGATATGCCATAGGACGACTAAGCAGCTGTGAGTGCTGGGACATGCAGTGCACCCACCTTGATATCTCTTCAGCTTGACTTAGTCTCGCCATTGGGTCACGAGGGGGTCAGAAGGAGTAACTGAGACCGACACAACGCAAATCTCTCTCGATAATCCAGTTTACGCCTACATATTCACCTTTTAGGATAATTCTCCTGAAGACTGATCGGCATGTGAGTGAAAGCCAGTTTAGAACACGCAAATCGTGGTGTTTCACTCTCTTTTTCTTCTACCAATTTTTGCAAGTCCTATTAAGTTCTAAGGTAGGGCAGTTTTGTTTGCCGCCGGTTGATTCTAAAGTGGGTCTGAAATAGGAGCACAGATTCTGCTTTTTGACCCCTTTTTTGCTCTTTCTTCCCACACTCTTCAGACGCAGAAACCAGAGTGCGTCAGAGAGACGCCCTCGACATGCTCGCAATGACGGTGACGTGTGGCATCGGTTGGGCTAGAGAGTGTCGATAGCAGCGTTCATCCATCTGCGCTTTTTCCTTTGAATTTGCTGGCGGCGACGCCCTTGTTATCTCCCAGTGTGCTTCCTACACCGTGATAAAGTACCCACCTTCGCCCACTGGAGAGAAGAGCGTAGGCACCGAGGCCCGCCGTCGACCCTTTTCTACCCTGATGGCACCACCCTTCCACCCGAGCGGGCAATGAGAAAAACCAGACTGAGAACTTTGCGCTGCCATTGCTGCTGCTGCCGCTATTACTGTTCTTTTTCTTATTGTGCAGCTTCCGCCGCTTCGTCCTGGTTTGACTTTAAGAATTATTCCGAAATTCTCGATATCAAACGAGTTCAATCGTTCCTCTTTAACTACACACCACACTGGTCTACTTGCCTCTTGTATTTGTCATAATCCCATCCCAACCTTTCTATTCTTAGCCTACCAGTCCTAGGACGTGCTCCTGGTAGATTTCCAGGAAGTGTTCGATCTCAGGGACTGTGTTTCTTCGTACTTCATTTTCCTCAACTCCATCTTCCATTCATCTTGCTCTCTCCGCAAGAGGAAGTATTTTACCTCTCTCGTCTCTGCAGGCTCATTTCCCCTCGGGTTGTAGAATGTCGAACAAGCCTGGGCAGTAAGCGAAAGAACTTCCTTCCTGACACTTTTTGCCAACTTTCTATCACTGGGTCGTTTTAATGACCTTGAGCCATCGGGGTCGTAGGAGTACTCAATATGCCGTTGGTATGTATTTCACTAATCCTGCCTGGTAGTAGCGTGGGATACGAGCGTCCCCTTGTTTACCCTGGAGCATCTGCCTAGCACGTTTGCTGACAGTCCAAACAACAGGAACCAATATTTCGGGATTATCGGCGACCTCTAGAAGTGAGTTAGCGTTGAGGACTTTCAAGTATGGGAGTCGCTACATTTCACGCGTCTCCTACGCGTTCCATTCTCCGTTGTTACCGCTGCTTCCTAATTGTTCTCTGCTGAACTTGATGCGGTTGTGAACATGTCCAGTCTAGCCTATCTCAACGCGCGGAACCATATGCAACAATGAGTCTGGTGAGCCCTACCCGCTGACCCCTCCAGCGGGGCGACTAAATGTTGGAAGTCAAAGAACCAAGTCCGTGTCTTGACGAACCGTCAGGTAGTAAGTTGACCTCTCTTAGAGGCCTCCAGGTGGGCGGGTTGTCGGATCAAGGGCAGCTGTAGAGAATTCCGGCAGGTGGAGAAGGACACTAACAAACCACCCTAGTCGTCTTTCCTAGACGCACGTTGCATGTGATGCATCTCAACCAGACCAGTTCTTCTAGATTTTTGCGAGTAAGTTGCCTCAGCGGCAGGCATGAGCCAACGTTTCTATTAATCGTCACGAAATGCCTAGCGGAGGTGTTTCTGGCCGCCCTAGCACTAGCTGTGCCTGAAGTTTCGCTAGTTCAAATGTGGGGTCACGTGGATGTGGAGTTCCCAGCATCGATGGTTGCAGTTCGGCCTGAGTGTTTTCAGCCCTCGTGTGTGTGCGCACGAAACGGCGCGTAAGTCCTGTTACGTGCGGGCACATCGAACCGAGGACTTGGGCACGAATATTTGCGAAACAGTGAGATTGCAAACTGGACAACATCGGTTTGAACATTCCCAACTTGGTTTTCAGGTTCGAGAATGCCGGAAGTGAAGGGCAGCGAGAGAGACAGAGAGAAATATGACTGCGGCATCTAGTCCATGTTGTGGCACTGGTGAATTCGACTGGAAGACTTCTGAGGTAAATGGTGTGCGTAAGGTGGCTACTCTTTTGTCTTTTACTTTTGTAAATCCCAGTGTACGCCGGACACTGCTGTCGGGACGGCGCTTTCCATGGCATGAACTTTCCAGTTCCGGACGCCTCGGAGACGTGTAACTTGAATCTGGTGACGCGCTTTCCCCGCTTGCTAGCTCATCGGCTCTAATAGCACCCCGAACAAGTCACTTTTCCGTCAATAGTTTCATTTACGCAACTGGTTCGCATCCCCCACCCCTACTCTCATGGTATCTGTTGCACAGCGGTTTGTCAGGAATCCCCTGCCTTGTTGAGCACATATTTGACGCTAGGTTTCATCCACTGAATAAAGTCTGGGGACTGAGAGCTGTACTCGCACATAGGTCAGTCAGACTAATTTCTGCTTAACCTCTAAAAGGGATAGATTCGGGGTTTGGTAACAGCGACTAGAAGAGGAGGTTGAGCAAACTTTCCAACTAAGAGTGTGGCTTCGCTACGTTGATGACATTCGCTATCACCAATACTCGCGAATTTGAGCAATTTCATCAGAGCCTGACTGGTGTCTCCTCAGCTATACGATTTACTCTCTAAGAAACAGCAGGAGATACCCTCCTGTTTAAGACGTGAGTATAAAAAGGTTCAGTGAACGTGGACGCCCAACATGCGTCCACCGAAAAGATCCCAATACCGAAATTATCCTTAACCAGGAAAGCAGCCACCCTGTGGCCCATAAAAGAAGCTGCGTCCGGACTCTTCCATTGGACCTTCCGTTACTGCAGTAGCGATGACCTACTTAAAAAGGACTGGCGCACTTTTATCGGTTATTCTGAACCAACAGATTTCCGCTCGGCTTTGTGAAAAATCGTTTTTAGACGCCACAGGCAAACACAACGCAGAAATTTTATCCCCTGTCTTACATGCAAGGGATTTCTGGAACAACCTCCCGACAACTGAACCGTTCTGTTCTCTCCATCGCTCACAAGCCCACATCCTCTCTACGCGCAACATTACGCCGAGTAAAAAACTCAACACACAAAGAGCAACCAACCAATGTCATTTACCGCATCCCGTGCGCTAAGTGTTCTAGTGTTTATATTGGCCATGCGGACCAGCATCTTGGGACTCCCACTAGCGAACGTAAGCTAGCCCTCCTCTGACGCCACCCCTTGTCCCTCGTGTTTGCGTCCGATGCTTCACTTGGGACGGCACTGAAGTTGTCACCGTGGCTAACCTCAAACAGGCCTAAGAATTCACCTAAACTTGGGGTTCTAGCATGACTAGCGACAACCATGCTGATATGAACGCTCACTACTAACCGTTACGTTCAAGGTTTGCTAACCTGCGCCCACGCTCTAACAAAAACTAGCCCCCACTCGGTCGCGTGAACCTCACTGTCCGCCACAGCCTACACGACGAACCACAAGCTCACTGACCCCTAACCCCATCCCATTTCAACAACCACTAGTCCATCCGCTCGCATTCCAACTGATGCGTCACCTCTCTCCAGCGCAGAGAGCCCCAACAGTTCTCCCTTCCCCGCCCTAAAACTTGCCGTAACTCAGTACCCACTACTTTCATCCAATAAGTGACTGTCTGTCGCATCACACTGTCTGGTCTGTCGTCCTCACTTGTGCCTCGGTTCATTTCGTCCGATGACAGGTTGGTTTCATCAACTTGGAAGTTCACGAGTACAAATCTGTTTCCCGAAGTACTTTCACTTTTTCATGTATATATATATATACATACATACATATATCAGAGCGGATACGACAGAGTCTGGGGGGTAGATTGATACAGCACTGTTTCGGGCTTGTTTGCCTTCATTCAGCCAACCATAACCCTGACCACCAGCTGGGACCGGAAACACAAACATGCGCACAGACGCACCTGGCGCAGCTGGTCCACCACTGGGGTCTACCAGATAGGTCATAAGCACTTTATCGAAACGAAGTTCATCGGTGCCTCGCCACCTGCCAGGCCCTGTCGTTGTAAATCGGGTATTTATTCTTCTAACCAGCCTGAAACCCCCGACTCTGTCTCCCCTCTGCTATCATAAATTGGCCGACTTCGGCCTGGTAGGTGTTTGCCTGTTCGTGGCCCAGTGGTAAGGGGCGTGGACTTCTAACTAACAGGTCTCGATTTGGATCCGTTGGTGTTCAACACTTCGGGATTGGGTATAACTGACTGATGACGGCTAACAGGCTACAAATGGCCAGTCCAGTCTCCCTTTTCTTTGTCGGTAATGCCATTCTGCCTGTAACATGCGCCGCTGTGAGGCTGCTGGTTGGGCTCTAGAGAGAGTCCATAAGGCACAACGGAACGAGTGAGTTCCGGAAGAACGATCGGTGAGTGCACCTTACCATTGTATATTTCCGATCGAAACCGACAGGTCCACGGGCTCATGGCCCAGCGGTTAGAGACGTGGACTTCTAACTAACAGGCCGCAAGTTCAAGCGTCGGGTGTTCCACACTTCGGGGTTGGGTATGGCTGGCTGACGACGGCTAATAAACCAGAAATGGCCCTTCCAGTCTCCCTTGTCTGTGTCGGTAATGCTATTCTGCCTATATCATGCACCGTTGTGCGGCCGCTGGTTGGGCTCTAGAGAGAGCCCATAATGCACAACGAGACGAGTGAGTTCCGGAAGAACGATCGGTGAGCGCACCCTACCCTTATATATAGATATAAGGACGCAGACAGAGAGATAAGCAGACGACCTTGCGTGGGGGAGCTGTGTATCGTGTTGTGACGGGTGCCGGAGGTAAGGATAGGTGTTATGGCTCCCGGTTTTGGCTCACCGTGTGGGGGAAGGAGGAGGAGGTCAGGGAGGGAGAAATGACGTGTTGGCGAGATCATGTGTGTACGGGCACGCGTTAGCTATTGTTGTTCTTAAGGCGGGCGCCAGTCAGTCCACCGCGATCGGAGACCCTCGTAATGGACATTTAGGTCAACCTGACAGTTAATGCTGTCCTCACCGGAGTGCCAAGCTTCGAGGAATTTCCGTGCCTGTATGGTATTAGCCATGACGACCATTTTAATGCCGTCCCAATTGAAATGGTGGTCACAATCTGGAGTGTGCGCAAACACGAGAGATAAGGGGTCGCATAGGCAGATAGCTAGCTTGTGTTCATTAATACGAGTCCCAAGTTGTCGACCCGTGTGACCAATATAGATGCAACGGCAGTTAGCGCATGGGATACAGTAAATGACGTTACTTTGCTGTTCTTTGGGTATGCGATCCTTTGCCCGGGATAG